TGAGAGAAACATTGATCTGCTGCCTCCTGCATGTTCCTTGACCAGGGATGGAAGCCAAACCTGGGTGCGTGTCCTGACAAGAACTCAAACCCACCACCTCTTGGTGTATGGGAGGACGCCCCAACCAAATAAGCCACCTGGCCAGGGCTCTTTCTATTTTGAAAACTTTGATCTTTTTCAGAAAACAAGTGGCCTAAAGCATATTTATTAACATCGAGGAGAAGAAAAGGTTTTCTGCCCTGAAATGTATTAGGTTTCTTCTTGTTTTACTCATATGATAAATTTCCTATATTTCAGTTGAATAGGCAGGATCTAGGAAAAGAAAGAAAATCATGGCTGGCGAGATGAACATACCACATTCTATTACTACTTCAAAGGAAACATGCTCTTTATTTCCAAGTTCAATATGCAAATTTTAAAACTACTTAAAATAAGAAAAACTACTTTAAAACTACTTAAAATATAAAATATTTTGTATTCTCATTGATAAGAATTTTTAAAAAGCTAAGCTATCATATGTAGAAATTATTTCAAGAAGTTTTTGAAGGGGAAAGTCATGGAAGTGTTAGCATGGATTCATTAAGCTTTTATCTTTATAGGCACATTAGGTCATGTCAATGGAATGAATATTTTTGCTTGATATACTCCACAAACAAGTTTAAAAAGCCAGGAAAACATATTTTTATGTCTCCTAGATGATCAGTTCATGCAGCGATTTTCTCTCTTTTCATTTTGTGGTTATCTAATTGCATGGGGCACTGTAATGCTGGTTACACAGCAGAAATGAAAACAGTCCCTTTGGATTTCTTCATGTAAGAGAACCCGGGGCTGATTTTCAGCAGCGAGGCATAGTACAACCAGCTTTCATACATAAAGGGCTAATGCCTTGTAGAACAGGAATTCTCAGAGCTGAGATAGAGGCAGGTCTGTTGCAGAGGTGGGTGTCTATGCAACATCTACTTTAGAGTACCCTTGTAAAACACCCACCCACACACACACACACACACACACACACACACACACACACTTTACCAGGATACTTACCTTTTACCTTTGTAAGTGTCAATTATGGCAACTTTGTTTACATTGTCTTTTCCATTGAAAACTTCATAAACACCATCTGCAGTATTGTTGTACTGAAAATACATGTACCAAGAAAAAATCATTTCTAGAACAATACATACTCTCCAAGTTATAAAACATGTAATTAACTCATGTTTGCATTTCTCAAAGACTGGTTATACATAATTATTTTATATGGTTTAAAATATGTAGGCATTGAAGTTTTAAACTTGTTCTTTAACATGTTAAAAAGATAGAATATAAAAGGTTCCAAGAAATAAGTGCTAGATGCCGAGACAAAGGAAGAAAACATATCAAAAGTTGATATAACCCAGGCTCTAGTGTTCTTTTTCATAATTAAGCCAGTAAAACAATTTGGATTACTATTCCTTTTATATTGAGGTGAGGAGATATTGAACAAAATTTATGAGAACAATGACAGATTTCTAGAGGTATTCTAAATATTATGATCTTTCGTAAGTGGTTACCAAAAACTAGGTATACAAAATTAAAAACAAAATTACCCAAGTATTTGAGTTAAAAAATAATAACTGGGCCTTGCCAGCATCTCTCAGTGGTTGAGAGTTGACCTATGAACCAAGAGGTCACAGTTCAATTCCCAATCAGGGCACATGCCCAGGTTGCAGATTTGGTCCTGTGCGAGTCATGCAGCCAATCAATGATTCTCTCTCATCATTGGTTTCTATCTTCCCTTTCCCTTCCTCTCTGAAATCAATAAAAATATATGAAAATAATAGTAATAATAATTGGTCAATGCGGGAAAAGAGGACATATGTCATACTTTCAACAATAAAGATTAAAAAAAATAAATAACTGAATCTCTGATCCCTTAGGCTCTCTACATTGATACTTAATTGATAATGTTGCAATCATGAAAACTTTCTAAAAGTAAAATAACAACAATGAACTGGAGAATATATCTAATAGCACATAGAGTGTCAAATCATTGTCAACATTCCAATTTGAGGGTTAGCTAGTCTTATTTATAATTCAAAACATTGCGCTATAGCTAAGTCTATCACTAAGTTCACATTTTCCTTAATCTTCAAATTGTCATTTCATTTATAGACCAGTAGGAATTCTTATTAATAAACTCTATAAGATAGGACACTGCTAATTGATCAGTGTTGTGTGTGCAAATTTAGGCTTTAAATTTACATTAAAACAATGTGTAAGAGGTCTAGAGAAGGAGGAATGATAGAACTAATACATTTAACACAATTAAAATGTTGGTACTAAACTTGATTTTTTCAGAAGTCAAAACTAAAAATAGTGTTCAAAGCCTTACCAGCATAACTTAATTTTAGACAAATTGTTTATTTATCAAATGAAATCCTGATTAAATATCATCTTCTTAATTAAAAATTTAATTGTTAAATTTATATAAGTAAATTTTATAAACTTAAAAAGCTGCAGCATGTGAGAAAAATGATTTTTAAAAATTAGAATATATATTCCCAGATAATAAATAGGGCTAACACACTAAATTATAAAATTAAAGATTTCCAATGCCATTTTATTTATCCAATGAAAGTAAAACAATATCAACATTTATACTTGGTACTCACGGGATAAAACACACCAACTGTTCTAGAAATTGGATATGGTACCAAAGTCAAGAACGGATCCTTATAGCCCCACAATAGTTCTCTCACACTTCTCCTTTGAAACAGAGATGACTTTGACTTTTTGATAAATGAGTTGAGTACCGATTGAACAAATGGATTTGGATAGAGATGGGCTGCAGCCTACAAAAAACAACAACAAAAAACTGTGTAAAGACACCATTTATAGTATTAAAAATATAACAAATAAATGGATTAAATATGAGAATTAATTTTAATAAAAAATTTAAAAAACTATTTTTCTAAAATTACTGCCAAATCTTGCCAGAGCTAAAAGTATCATTTTTCTAATCCCTAGATAGGCACATTTGAGTGCCTCAGTTTCAGTTACAAGAAGAAGTCTTTCAAAATTAAGTCCTATTTTTTCCCAAGGATACACTTGAAGTGGTCTTCCAATTCAGTTGTTTTTTTTTTTTCATCTTTCCTAATGACCAAAACTCTATTCAAATAAGGACATAGGAGCAGAATAATACTATCTAGTGAGAGTTCTAATATTGAGATTAATTATAGTGGGTTCTAGAGCATTTCAAAACAAATCGTTTTGTTTGTCTACTCACAGCGACAGCCAGATTGAGGACAGTGAAAGTGTCATTCTCTGACCCAACTGACAGGGAAGGTTCAAAGATGGCACCATTGGGCTGTACAAAAGAGACTGTGTTGCTCAGAGGGTCATGGGTTATGTTTTCCTTGGAGAGATAACGAACTCTGAAATACAAAAGTAAATAAAATTCAAAATTATTGTCTCATGTGAACGTTAGGCCTCAAATGTCATTCATTCATACAACAAATATTTTCGAATATATGGAATACATCAGAACTTATGCTAAACCAGTAGTCGGCAAACTGCGGCTCGCGAGCCACATGTGGCTCTTTGGCCCCTTGAGTGTGGCTCTTCCACAAAATACCACGTGCGGGCGCACACATACAGTGCGATTGAAACTTCGTGGCCCATGTACAGAAGTCAGTATTTTGTGAAAGAGCCACACGTAAGGGGCCAAAGAGCCGTATGTGGCTCGCGAGCCACTGTTTGCCGACCACTGCGCTAAACCATTGGCATAAGCCCATGCTGGTTCTCTAGCAAATTAGAGAAAGGGGTCTTAAATTTACACATAATAATATGTGTTATTTCAGGAGTTTACGGACTTCATGGTTAAAACAGAACAGATAGAAATTCAGACTTGGGATGGTCATGGTGGGGATAAGGGTCAAGACACATTTTGCAGCAATTCCACATACTGTAAGTGGTCTGAATTACAAAAAGAAGTTTAGTTGGGGAAAACAGGTTTGAAAGTGGCACATATAAGCTAAGAAGAACCTGGTGTATTTTTAGAAATGCAAATGGTAGAATTTGGTTGGATTATAAAGTGAGAGAGTAAGGAGAGTGGTAGGAAATAAGCAAGATCTCAAACATAAAGGCTTGTATCTCACACTCAAATGTTTAGCCTTTATCCTAGGGTAAGGAGGGGACAGGAGAAAGGCTTAAGCAAGGGAATATTAAGAACACATGGTCTTAGAAAGAATGCTCAAAATATATAATCTACCCAGCGCTGGCTATTCCATATTTTTCAGTACTTTAAGGAGAATAAAGATAACTAATGGAATATAATTTACTCCAGACTAATTTCCCTCCCTTTCCCATATATTGAATCCTGCCTAGTATTAAATCAGTGTTCATTGGCTTTAACATATCTAGTTTCATGTTACCAACTACATTTTAGGAATGTATTGAAGGGTGATTACTGTGGAGAAAAAAAGCTTGGCAAGTACAAGATATTCACTGAGATGAAATAATGGATACATCATTTGTTGCACTATAATATAGTTAATGTTTATGATGTAAGGTGAATAGTTAACTAAGGTAAAGACTGATAAAAAACATGTAATTGAAATGTAAAAACCAATATTTTTCACTCAGGTATAAAAAAAATGTAAATTTCTGTAAGGTACGGATTATGAGTGTTTGTCCCTCCAGCTCAGTGCCCGGTGCATGGTGAGTTCTCCATAAATATTTTTGAATGAACAAATTAATTAATGGCTCACATTATTTCAAAAGGGAACTCCCAATCATCTAGAAAAAGATTTTATTTTTAATATCATTTAATCAAAGCTTTATTATTTATTTTTATGGAGGTACTAAATATATACAAAGAACATACAAATATAAATCAGCACCCAGGACAGTATATTACTAGTCATTTACTATTTTCTCTTATATAGATGTAAATTTAAAATTATATTATATGTTATTAACATTTAAAGTTGAAATAATAGGCATAAAATTGTGACCTAAATTCTAGCTTATTTAAATTGTACTTACAACATTACACCAGTAGATGGCACTCACTGAGAAAAATCCTTTAAACTGAGGCCTGTTAATAGAATGTGCTTTTTAAAAAAGAACATAATCACTCAATTCTTTGGTTTAAAAATTAGAATGTAGGCAGGTTTTGGAAAGTTTTGGTTAAGAATGTCAAAGGGAGTAATCTGCCTTATATGTTTCCCAAGACTGCTTTCTTTGTATTCCTGCAAAAAACAAAGTAACTCAAACATTATATATGTTTGAGATTTGAGAATATTCTGAAGGATTTACTAAATATTCATAGAGCAATAGAGATGGTGAATGTCGGAATAAGTGCCATTAAGATCCCAGTCCTGGAAATTTTATGCTTTGCACCATGTCATACCTCACCAAAAAAAATTTCATCAAAGTCACTTAAGCAGCCATCAGCCAAATAAGCCCGTGGTTCTGTTTGAGGCAGAATACCTTCCTACACTGCCAAGTTCACCTGGATTCAGAGCGTCACTTATGGGGCGGTAGCTTCACCTCAACAGATGTAAGATTCTCAAGCTATTAACTTTTTCTGAAAGGTGGTTTCCCATGACTTAAGGCATGCCAGCAGACACTAATGACTCAGTTACGGTGACCTTGGTGAGACAGGATGACCCCAACCTGACCAAAAATCTCTTTAACATTGTGTGGATGAAAAGCAGCCACATGCTAATCTGACTGGCTCAATGAAGGCCTGCATGGCATCCTTATAAACTCAGAGAGCTAGAGTAACCACAAAGGATGGATCTGAAATTCAACCCTCTTTAGACAAAAGCAGTTTATGGTGGGCAGTCATGTCCTAGGCTGGTATCGTCCCTGACAAAGGTCAGTATTTACCTTAACTAAGCCTGTCTATTGTCTTTTGCATCTGAGAACATTCCTTTGGAATGTCAGGGTAACTCCCAGTTCCCAGACCTCACAGGGCACAACCAGTACACTGGGACAGCGACCAGAAATCCTCACTTTTTTATCATGTTAATTGTTGACTGTTAACTAGCCTGGACCCACCTATGTGAAAAATGCATGTGTCTATCATTTTACTTTTCATCCAATCCCAGAGGTTTCCCACGGTGCTTTCTCCCACCCCCCCAATCTATCACCAATGGATTTCATGTAACCCACTTGCAGCATCTCTTTTGATTGTAATGTATAAAATAAGGTGCACAGCTGCCATTCTCAGGGGCTTTATCTCAATGTGTTGAGATTTTGCTCCCCAGTCATTGTCAACATTAGGCTCAAAAAAATCTCACAAAAATTCTTCACAGGTTTGAATGTTTCTTATGTTGACAATTGTTATATAAGTAGAAATTTATTGTTTATAAACATTAGCTGCAAATCCAACTGGTTTCCTCCAACCCTCCCATCATCGCCTCTTCAGATGAATTGAGTGTATCTAACCCGCCCTCTTTTGTTCTTTAGAGGTTAGAACCTCTAAGAATAAAATAGATATTACTTGTCACCTATCAGAGTAGGGCTAGGACTAGTTCAATATTATGTTAATGTTTCCCCACATTCTCCATAAAGTAAAAAACAAACATAAGCTCCCCACAAACAAAAATTTAAACAGAAAATATACATTTTAAAATTCTAACAACTATTCTTTTTCCTCACATGCATTCAATTAATCAGATTATGAGTTTTAAGCAATATGCTTCAATATTCATTGGGTCACATGTGACTTCTAGATTGTCATAGGTACACATCATATCTGCAACATTTTTTGAAACAAGATATTCATATAGGCTTTTGATAATAACACAAAACTATAAGAGCATGGAAAAAATGAATATTCTTTCTGAATTAAGCTTGTTGTTTTTTTTTGTAACAACAAAAATCAAGTCTTCTTGGGCAGAGTTGTAAATGGTTACAGACATATGCACAGACAGAGGAGACATGGAATAATTGCTAGGACACAACAAGCACCATGGCCTTTTATACATCATGTGCTATTACAACAAGCACTACCTTCACAAGTATCATTATTTCATTATATTTTGAGTGTGAGGTGTTACTATAGAAATATAATAATAATATGTGGAGAGAAAAAATATACAATTATAGATGATCTAAAACAAAAAAGATACTAAAACTATAAATTATTTAAAAATCGTTAAATATATGTATTTGTGGTAAGAATTGATTATGGTGTGTAACTAGTTGTAATCCTTGAGAAAAAAGATATCACACCTTTATATATCAAATGATACAGCAGAATTTAATTATGTTTCCATATGGATCTCGTAAATATATGCCTAATCCTTGGTTAAGGTTAGTGTTTGTAACAGCTCAATCTCTGCTTTTTTTCTTACTTTGATAGTGGGTAAAAAGACAGTCTATAACTTAAGTAGGGGAAAACATACAAAAATCTAGGAGGTACCAGTTCCTAGGTTTGTATGAACATGAACAAATCGTATCACATCTCCTGATGTCAGTTTTGTTTAATTACAAGATGAAAAGTTCTGGCTATTATTTCCCTCTTAGTTTTAATTGTCCAAGATGCCATTCCAAAGCATGGTAAATTATTAGGAAATTTAGGATAAAGTTGTAGCATATTCAGTCTCAGCACTGGGAAATATGTAATAATGAGTCTACTGAATAAATAGAAACCCCCATTTGATCTGGGAATTACTAGTAGTTTGAATAGAAAACCTTAGTAGCTACTGCAGTTGTGTAACATCAGTTTAATGTGGTTTTTAAATTTGACTGTGTATTGGCATCACCCAGAGAGGTTTGTAAAACTTATTTTTGATTTCTAACCCAAGAGTCTTTGATTGACTTGGTCTGGGATACTGGGCTAGAGTCTGAAAACTTGCATTTTTACCAAGTTCCCAGTGTAATGCTGATGCTGCTAGCCTCGGGACCATACTTTGAGAATCACTAATGTAATCTATACATTCACTCTTAAAATGTTAAAGTCGTCTAGTTTTTAAAATTTTGATAGATATCTTTTTCTATGGATCACATATTTCACAGTCGTGGAGAATATATTCCACAAGTGTAAAACACCTGCAACTCCTTAAACGTAGGCGTTAATTGATGCTAGTCAATTTAAACCTAAATAGATACTGCTTATAATCAATAAGTCTTTAGATCAGGATTCTATACAGGCATAAACAAAATATTTCAATGTATATAACTGACAAGATAATATAAGTCCCTTTCAAATCAGTGGCATTTATCATATGGAAGCCTTTTCAGAAACATATGGTC